ACCTGGTTGACTTGTTTTTGTATAATCATAATTCTAACATCTATATCATTGAAACAAGACCTAAAATAATCAATGTTCATAATTAAAGTTTAAAAATAATAATAGTATTTTACATTATTAGCCAGGTAAAACAGTTTTTACTGGCGATTGAAGGAAATGACTAGCGAGCCGCCAGGCGAGCTTGTCACCTTCAAGAGCCAGTAAAAACTGCTACCTGGCGTATAATGTACAATAATTTATTTGTTACTCATTTGTAAAAGATATAGGGACAAATAAAAAATCAATACATAACAAACATTTGAAATTTATATGTTTTTCCTTGATTTTTTCTCACAGAAGTTTTGGTAGTTGGTATAACTATGAGAATGATACGTTGTTAAGACGTTGTTTCTAGTTATAAATAGGTTTTTTGACAGATTTCCATTTTGCAATTTTTTTCCAGAAATGAATTTATTACAAGATATTATTAATGAAGCCTCAGTCGTAGCCAACAGTTTATCACCAGAAAAGTCTCCCAGAAGGTACCTACAAGCAATTATTCTTGTGATAAAACCGATTTTTCAAAAATAAATAATTCTACTGACTTGCAAAAAGTTTTTACAGTTTAGCTGTCAATTTTACAAGTCAGTAGAGCCAGTAGCTTGTAAAAATCAATTTTCGCTGGTTATGTTTTGACTTGATAAGTGACGTTTTACAAATGAGTGACAAATAAATTTGTTTTATTTCCAAAGCCACGTGTTCCTTATAACCTGTCTAATTGATTTTTTGTTCTTGAAAAGAAATGCCGAAAATTACATAGAATTAATTGATGTTTATTATTACTATGCAGGATTTTAATAACTTAACTTCCCCTAAAGAAATTGATAATAAATTTTCATTCTGAAATGTAAATCAATTTTCTAAATACGGCCCTGTCGTTTATCCCACCTCGGAATCGAAGCGCTAACAAATGCTGGCAGCCTACAGAAAAAAATTACTAGGATTGTCAAAGTGAACTGTCAACTTTTTTTTCTATCGTGAATTTGACCATATAACGACGCAGCAGGTAGGCTATTGATAGAACGAAGGGAGGGGAACATCGAAACTAGGTCAAGTGGCTCTCCGCTCGGGGACTCGAGGTAGAAGGGTACGAGAAGCGACAGAAGACGTTTTGTTGGGGCGCGTACTTACCAAAGACGTTTGGGTGATTATCGATTTTTCGTTGTGTGGTTGACGGCCATTTTGCCAATAATCTTTTAGTTTAGACGTAAACAAAAGTGTGTGACGAAGCTGAGACGCAGCTACCCAAATAAGGCGTTATTTGGTGTGTATTTTTGATTGTTAAGAAGCTAAGTAGTTGCTGTGACGTTGTGACTTGTTTCACCTACCCGAAATTGTGACGTATAACTTTCATTTCAACCATCACTACCTATTAAATTTAATTCCATAAAAGTACCCTGGGCCTTTCATTTATACCTTTGGACGTAACGAAGAAAAGAACCTACATTATGAATTCTAGGAATTATAGTGCTTTTACAGTTTTAATTCATATAAACATTTGGGCATGCGGTCGATTTGACCGTAAACGTGTTATGACGTGAGTTTTTTGACGCGTGTAATGGTGTAATGTCGAATTAATGTATATCATGATAGGAACTAGACCAGACTAATGCTATGCTATAGCATTTCATATTTTAGCCAATTTCGAAACAAGAAAATAGTGAAAGTCTGATGACTGCTTACGTTGATGCAGATTTTGCAAATTCTATTGAAGATAGAAAAAGCATCTCAGGTTTTGCAATAAAGGTTTTTGATAATTTTGTTTATTAGAAATCTAGAAAACAGTCCATATTGTTTCCTTCAGCAATACCTACAGAGGCAGAGTATGTTGCACTCTCTGATTGTTTAACGGCATGCATTTTTATTGCAAAACACTTGAGTGAAATCTTGCATCGTGATGCTTTTCCTATTCAAATATTTGAAGACAACCAATCCTGTTACTTTGGGAACTAAATGAACGAAGCATATCGAAGTAAGACATCACTTTATTCGGGATTCTGTTAGCCAAAAGAAAGTAAAATTGAAATTTAAAGTTACTTTAGAGCAAATAGGTACCTAGCTGATACCTTTACCAAGGCTTTAGCAGCTGTAAAACTGAAGTATTTTAAAGATCGGGGTACTTAACAGTTTTATACAGTTTTTTTTTTAAGTTTGCTGACTTGTACTCTTACTTTACTTAAGTTTTGCTGACATGTATTGTTACTTTAGTTTTAATAACATGTATTTTACTTGAGTTGGTTGACTTTTAATTTGGAAAACAGAACATCAACTGGGAGAAGATAACTGGAATCACCATGCTAGATGTCGAACGAGCTTTTGACAGAGCCTAGCATGACGAAGTGTCATTGAGCATGACATACTAAATCACAGGATGGATGATTCAGGGCAGCTATCAAGCAAAGACTTAGATTTATCTGACAGGTAGAACCTTCGCTGTGAAGATTGGCAAACACCGTTGAAGAATCAGGATTCTGGAAGCCCGTATTCCAAAAGTATCGGTAGTCGATACTCGAATATCGTACTGGTACAACATTTACATACCCGAAAAAGAGCTTAGAGGAAGTCAAAAAGAAATTGATCTGATCTCGGAATTCGGAATGGTGCGTCAATAGAAGATCAAGGTCTACTCACAGAAGAACCACGACAAGCTTGATCTCAATGATATATATCAACATCGAAGAAGAAAACATTTCATGGTCTAGGTTGGGAAGTCAAATACTAGACTAACCATGGAAGTAGAAGGATTTGGTTATCTCACATGGAAATGTCCCGAAACAATTTTTTGGGCGTATACTGTCACATAAATCATAATTTGATAGTTGATTCAATGATTTATATTAACTTTGCGAAAAACAATTTAAAAAAATTATCATTTTCATTCATCTAATATTTTCTGAAACTCGGTATTGTTACGTGCCAATTTATTACGTGGCAAAACGTAACGGAGAAGACAATAATAAGATTTTGAGGAGCGGGGAAAGTGAATGGGTAGCTAAAAAGAGAAAGAATAGAAAGAAAGTAGAAAGGGTTGGTTGGTGGCTGAAATCTAGAAACGTGATTTCGTGTATAGGGTTGCCGACTAGCTTCCAATACGGAGAGTGGTGTGGGTTAATTAATTAACTAAATATAGAGCGCCACCTACTTTTTCCCTGCAGTACACGAAATCAACCGATATAACGAAAGCAGGAAACTTCTACGGGACTATAGCAGCACAACCTGAAATATAAACAAGAAGAAGGAAAAAAAGTGAAACGCTTTGCTACAATCAGGTACGGGTCTTTAATTAAAACTCGAACAGAATGGGTTTAACTCCAGAGCAGGTTCGGAGAAGTAAAGAAATCGCCTAAAAACTAGAAGTACCTAACCTATATACTCTAAAAATAGTAAATACAATAAATTAACTCGAGTCCCTTAAAGTAAAGAGTACCGTACAACAGCAAAATTACCTGAAACATAGATGATCAATATACAAGCTTACTAAATGCAGTACCTTCGTAAATGGCCATTTAACCCCAGTGTACAAGTATTTACCTGTATTCAGTGCAGCATTAATCAAAGTGGAAGTAACAATACGTAACCTGAAGGGCTTTAATATTATGTAACAATATAGGTAGTATAGATACCTAGATACCTAATAAAATTGAAGTACCTAACCATACATAACCTGGATGGCAAGTTTCATAAAAAAAAGGTGATATAATTAATTAAAAATTGTAATAGCAACACATAATCTGAAGGATAATTTTTAAGGTAGTAAATCTGCGTTGTTGTGGTGTTTTACTCCAACAAGGGGTTGGCAAGGTTTGATACTAAGACAATACGACACACTTATCAAACCTCAGTAGTCCCTAAACTCTTGGGGAAACCTGACGGATGGAACTAATATCTTCCAGTGTTTCCGATGGCCTGGGTCTGGATCAAGGCCGCAACAAGAAGCAACTCGCCCTGGGCACTAAGGCTTCCAATTGTCTAAAGGAGGCTGAAGATTGTAGGTCCTACTCGAAGTATACCGTAAGCTTAACGTATAACTCTTTACTGAAAGTTAGGGACTGAAGCGTGACGAATAAAAGGGGACATCTAAGGGTAACGATTAAAGCGTAACTTCTAAAGGTGAAGATTAAAGGCCTGAAACAAATGGACGTTATGAGACAGGGCGTGGAGCAATAGGTAGGTATGTCCGATATTCGGAATTTGACCGTATAATTAACAGAAAACTATGCTTTTACATAGGAAATAGAGAAACAGAGAAGATTAATAAGAAAAACGACTCACCAAAATACTTTGACCTTTAGGAACAAACAATTGGTCACGTTGCTTTTTCTCGACTCACAAATAAAATCCGCTCAAGGCGATTGGGTGCTAAAATAACGATTAGCCACCCTAGATCTATGAGCGAAAACTAGACAACTCAGAAAATCGGCAAAATGTGCCTGAGGAATTTTCCCGAACACTTAATCGTGGAAAGTCCTCGACCTGAATGACCTCTGAATGTCCCTGCAATGTCCTTTAAAAAGTGTCTGTCAAAACTCCACGGTGGAAGGTACTGGGGATTTTGATGGTAGTTGGGGCATGGTACTTATTCAAATTAAGTTAGTACCGGTCATGGACCCTATTTGGAGCGCTGTCAATCTAGACAATCTACTCCGATCAGACATCAGCTGTTCTAGTGTAATTATTGTGATTTTGTTTTATTAATAAATTAATTGTCTATTTATTTTAACCCTACTAACAGAAAATCAATTCCATTAATAAAGCTCTAACTTAATGATTCTGGGAAAAATTAAAAGTTTGATGAAAAGTTTGGCCACAACTATTGAAAAGACAACAGTGGCTTGACGAAGGTATGCTATTCATTGAGGCGAATATGCTTATTTCCTTTCATTTTAACCCAGGAAAAATCAACCCGTAACAGTATTAACCTCCGATCTCAATAGATAAAAACAATCAACAGTTTAACTTACGATGTGGGGTGTTCCACCGGTATACCATGACTATGTCCGCTTACTCCGTTAACAGGTACTTTTTCTTTAGTAGGAACTTTATCCAAAGGGATGTTGATGATGGGATCCCTCGATTGAAATGTCATAAAAGTGTCATCATTGCTGGAAAAGAAAAATCCATACCATAAATTAGCAATGTTTTGGGAAATATGATCACTCTTATTATTCAAAATTTGCGTTAAGTTTCTGCACAAATTCTAGTAGGTCCTTATTTCATTTTTTATAATATTTATTCGGTATTCATAAAGTGCAACCGCAATTATTATTATTATAATGAATGACCTACCTTTTTTCGGACACACAACTCGTTTTCGACCCATACCATGGTTGTTGTTGGTATTTTTCATTAGGCTTCGTCTGGTTAGTTTGCATATCCATTCTGCAAAAAAAAGAGTTCAATGTTAAAAACAGCAAGGTGATGATACGACCGTCGACCATGAATACACACATTCATTTAAATGTTATAATGATTAAGTTTGCAGAAAATTTTTTTTTTGCTGCATTTCTCGAATAGAAGTTAAAATATGATTTGAAAAATTTCATAAATCACAATCTTTCTAACCTATACTTACTGCAAAGTAGGTACCAGTTTGTGAATAAATTGGTTAGATAAGTAGGTAAATATTTTATTTCTGGGTACTCAAAATAAAGTTGATGTCTGAAATAATTTAACATTTTTGAATAAAAATGTATTTAACAAATACTTAATTTTAATCAGAAAATAAATACATACGTACAAATTTTAATTAGACAAAATGTAATCAAACATAAAATCCTGGTATAAAATTTATTCTATTCTTTGCTGACAATAATTATCATTTTTTTTCAGTATACCAATAAAATAATTAAGTACAGACAATGAGAAATAGTATTTAAATTGGGTCATTGACACTTACTAGATGTTATCCCTTTTAACAATTAATTTTATGTTTGAATTGTGAATTGGCTGTAAAGTGATTAGGTACTTTGGACTGATAAAAAACCTCCACCCCTTACGAAGGCGTAGAAGGGACATTTATTAAATTTTTATTTGCTGGTATAGATGCACAATTAATTCCGTGTTAACTAACTCGGAATTAATCCCCTCCTATTTAATTCCGTGTTAACTAACTCGGAATTAATGTCCTTTTATTTAATTCCGTCTTAACTAACTCGGAATTAATCCCCTCCCATTTAATTCCGTGTTAATTAACTCGGAATTAATCCTCTCCTATTTAATTCCGTGTTAACTAACTCGGAATTAATGTCCTCTTATTTAATTCCGTGTTAACTAACTCGGAATTAATTAAGACGGAATTAAATAAAAGGACTTAATTCCGAGTTAGTTAACACGGAATTAAATAGGAGGGGATTAATTCCGAGTTAATTAACACGGAATTAAATGGGAGGGGATTAATTCCGAGTTAGTTAAGACGGAATTAAATAAAAGGACATTAATTCCGAGTTAGTTAACACGGAATTAAATAGGAGGGGATTAATTCCGAGTTAATTAACACGGAATTAAATGGGAGGGGATTAATTCCGAGTTAGTTAAGACGGAATTAAATAAAAGGACATTAATTCCGAGTTAGTTAACACGGAATTGAATAGGAGGGATTAATTCCGAGTTAATTAACACGGAATAAAATGGGAGGGGATTAATTCCGAGTTAGTTAAGACGGAATTAAATAAAAGGACATTAATTCCGAGTTAGTTAACACGGAATTAAATAGGAGGGGATTAATTCCGAGTTAATTAACACGGCATTAAATAGGAGGGGATTAATTCCGAGTTAGTTAACACGGAATTAATTGTGCATCTATACCAGCAAATAAAAATTTAATAAATGTCCCTTCTACGCATTCGTAACCCCTTGATGAAAACGGTAAGAGATAAAATGTTTCAATGTTTCCAGTTGAGTCCATTATATTAGCAACAAAGTAATACAATACAAAACTTTTGTTGCTAAAAACTGTGTGAAATAAATGCAAATTCTATCACCCAAAAAACACAAAAAATAGGAAATAAGCCAGGCATTAAAAATTACAAATAAATCGATTTAACATTGCAAGGCGTGAATAAAATTTAAAATTTCTCTTTTCGTGTCTGAATAATATGCATCATTAGTTTAACTAAAAATGCACCGCGTTTTGTTCAGAGGAAACTGTTTACGGAAAAATCAAGTATGAGTGATTTATTGATTACCATTATGTGATGGTATTCAGTTTTTGCGGAAATGGTTAACTATAGCGAGAAAATTAGTGGAAAATTTGATTTTCCTGAATAAATAGGTATTTGTCCACAAATTGACTTAACTTCCAGTTCATAGTCGATTAGCTGGAATATTATATGATTATTTGTATCTACAATTTTTCAATGTTTTTGTTGATGTAAAAAAATATAATTGATATTATTAAATTTGTTGATCTAAATCAAAGGTCGAGAAGAGGATCTAAGCTTGCACATTCAATTATTGAATAATTATGCATTTTTTCAAAAACTATAATTAAAAATTGAAAAAATAACCAATCAAAGATTGCTTTGATTACGAAAATGTACGTCGCATTATTGTTTCTTTATTGGTCAGGACATGACATTTTGACATTAAAGTTCATTGACAAAATTGAAGAAAAATGTTGCTAAAACACATCTACGTTAAAAAAACCATAGCAATCTCTGTTTTTTTTTTTTTGAAGACCCGTTAGCATGAAATGTTAATCGTAAATCGTAATTCGGTTTTTAAGCACCTGGCAACATATAACGTCGAATATGCAGGTATGTTACATACTTAATTGTTCACCGAGAATCGTTACCGAATGCGTATTTAGTTAGATACCAGAATTTACAGGGAAATATTTCCCAATCGGACGACACCTAAGGAAAGAATATTTGCATCTGTTGGGCAAAGATTGCGGAATACGGGAAGTGTAAGTGTGCAGAATGTTAATCGGGGACCTGTAAGACAAATGGCATCTGTATTATTTGAACAATGAATGTGTCCTCAAAACAAGTATTTATTCAAATCACAGCCAAAATCAAAAGTTTATTACAAAACGATAACAAAACGACTGCCAAGTGACAGGTGACAGCCCATCGGTGGTGCCTTCGGGCCACCGCCCTGTATTGCATTCCACCGACGTGACAATTTATGATACATGCATCTCTTCTCTTAAAAATAAACATAATTCTTCTAAGACTTAAAAATTACATACTACAAAATCAGTAATAAATGATTAACTATAGATTCAATCTGTCGGGCCTTTTGATTGTCTACCAGATTTGGACTTCTGACGGAGATACAAAGGAGGCGAAGAGGGTCGAACAAAAGTGGCTTCACTATCAGACTGAATCTCAGTTGCGAGCTTAGTAGGCTCTGAATAATTACAATCAGACTTTGCAGGAGAACGACGCACAGTATTAGAATTTTCACAATCGTGCCTAAAGTTAATGTCACAATACGGGTTCAGTCTATGATCAATATGAGAGTCCTTCAGATCAAAACGATTTCTCCTCATTATATTTCCATGGGAATCCAAAAAAACCTTGTAAGATCCTGGACCTTCAGCAAAATCCAATATCTTACCTGGCTCCCAATAATTTTTTACATGGTTAAAAACCGAAACATTTTGGTCAGGTTCTAACGGTTTCAAATTGAGTTGCAGTCTTATTGAAGTAATTTTTATTCCGGCCTTGCCTCAGTTCGAGCCGTTCTTTTACATTTTCACATAATAAGGGCTTCAATAAGTCTGCTGATACTGGCAACTTTGTCTTGCATATTCGACTCATGAGTAACTGAGAGGGGGAGTAGTTTAAAAACTTGAGAGGTGAATTTCGATATTTAATTAGGGCTTCAAACATATCCTTGCCCTCTTCCAAAGATTTTTTGAGTAGCTTTTTTGCAATGCCTATGGTTAGATCTGGGGTAGTTCGGGCTTCTAAGCACCATATTATCGAAAATCCACTCTTTTGAAAATTCCTTAAAAATGAAACTCCCAAAGGGGACGTTATCACATCACAAACTAGCTTGTCTGGACAACCAAATCTGGAAAAAATTGATTTTAATATTTTTATCACTTCATTAGCTGACTTGTTTTTTAATGGAGCCAACTCCAACCAGTTTGAATATGCATCCATAACTACAAGATAAGACCTATCGCCATGAGAAAATATGCACCCACTCTTTCCCAAGGACGTTCTGGAATCGAATATGACAAAAGCTCCTGTTTTGAATTACAGCATACAGCAATCATGGCAAACTTTTCACAAATTTCACACTTCTTAATGTAATTTTCAATGTCCTGTGACATAAGTGGCCAATAAAAGATTTTCCTAGCCCGAGCCTTTACCTTTTCAATCCCTAAATGGCCCTCGAGGAGTCTTATGAGTCTCTGTTCTCTAAGATCTTTTGGAACAACTAGCTTAGTGTTAAAAAATAGTAGTTCATCAGATATCGATAAAGCATACTTCAGTTTATAAAAATGACTTGCCAAAGTTGGGATTAGTGTTTTGGTAGAAGGCCACTGCGTTTTGACCATATTAATTACACACTGTAATTCAGGGTCATTTTTTGTTGAATTCCTTAACAATTCTTTTTTTTTCATTAGAGATGGGCAAATAATTTGAGAGTTCATGAACATTATATTCTAAATTTAATTGGGTAGAGTCCCCAGATTTAGTTTAAAAAGCACGAGATAGTGTATCTGCGATAAATAAATATTTTCCTGGCTTATATATCACTTTTAGGTCGTAATTAAGTAATTTAGGGATCATTCTTTGCAGCCTTGGAGATACAGACTGTAGGCTTTTTCTTAAAATTGACTCTAGGGTTTGTGGTCAGTACAAACCTTAACATTTTTAACACCATACACATAATAATGATACTTTTGATAGCTGAACAAGATTGCCAGAAGTTTCTTCTCAATCTGAGCATAATTTGCTTTACTTTTTGTTAGACTTCTCGAAGCGAAGGCTACTGGGTAGCCATTTTGCAATTGGGGACAATTTTTTTCGAGAAATTGGGGATAAACTTACCCAAATTTTAGTCATGCCAAACAGTCTTGATAAATCAGCTTTTACACCATCTTTCGAAAAAACCTGTCCCAGAAACTTTACTTCTTTTGATTTAAATTGTATTTTGTCCTGGTTAAACCTAATATTATATTTGACGGCTCGGTCAAGAACGCGCTTCAAATTTCTATCATGATCAGCCTCTGTTTTACCCGAAATAAGCAGATCGTCACAACAAATCTCTACTCCATTAATGTCACCAAAAAGCTCAAAATTTCTCTTCTGAAAAACTTCTGGGGCAGAACTCAAACCAAAAGGCAGCCGACAAAATTGGTAGCGACCAAATGGTGTGCCAAACGTGTGCAGGAATCCGAAGGTTGATCATCAAACTTG